AGTTTACATGCTAGACTGAACAAGCTAGTCAATCTTCAAGGAGAACTCAGCCATCTTTTTGTTTAAAAGTTCTGTTAATTCCCCCCATTGCCATCCAAATAAATTTCCATTCATTCATTCATTCAGTGTTTACTGATGTCCAATAAATGCCAGGCTTGGAGCCCAACAGGGAAGGGAGCAGACTTGGTCCCACTGGGGCCATGTCCGTGACATGAACAGTAACAGAGTGTAGGTGCTGGGTAGGAGGGAGGGAACCTGGGTCTGGTCTGCAGGAGGAAGTGGGAGCAAAGTCTGAGCCTGCAGGGGCAGAGCGGTGGCACCGTGCCCTGGGCCAAGAGCAAGGAGGTGGCCAGCAGATCACGACCTCGGAGGTCTCCTTAGCCAGGGTTGCAGTGTCCTCGGGCTCTTATGGGCAGTGGTGCAATGGAGTCAGTCCTGTGTTCCCAGAAGACCCGTGGCTGTGGAGCGCACTGCTGGGGGCAGGGTGGGGCCTGTGCACCAGGCAGGGAACCCGGGTCCTCGAGGGAGGAAGTGGGATGGATTCAGGTGGAGCTTTTAGGGCTGCTTGGTGGGCTGAAGGAGAAGGGCCTCGAGAGGCTCCTGGAACTGGAGGGGACTTGAGGGAGGCAAACCTAGGGGCATAGACCGTGGTGCATTTCAGATGGGCTGGGGGGAGGCTTGGAGACAGCAGGAGACTGGCTGGGGGTGGGCGCTGAAGCCTGAGACAGGCATGCAGCTGGCTCCGCGGGGTCGCCACCCTACGAGGACGCAGACCCTGCTTGGACACAGACAACAGACCCGGACAGAGCAGCCTGTGGTGTCAGTTCCTTGTCCCATGTGTACCATCAGGTATTCACAGGTGTGTGCTAAACCTTTGTACAGGGGGTTCTCAGGCAGAAGAATTGTCTCGGCTGGCAGATCCTGGGCAGTGGCTTGAATATCTGAGAAGCTCTGGTGTGAAGGCATCCAACTCCTGTTGAAATAGAATCACAAGGGACACTTTCTTGCCCTTAGGGCTTTTCCTGTTTTTTAAAAAAATGCATAACTGTTTGGTGTCTGAGTAGATAGTACATATTTGGCCAGAAAAAATATTTTTCCAAACTGAGTGTGGCGGTGCCTGTGTGTGATCCCAGCACTCCGGGAGTGTGAGGCGGGAGATCCAAGCCCAAGCCCAGCCTGGGCAGCTTCGTGAGACCCTTTCTCAGAATGAAAAATGAAAAAGGGCTGGGGATGTAGCTCAGTGTGAAGGCCCTGGGTTCAATCCCCAGTTTCTACAGCAAGAAAAATAAACAACAACAACAGAATCCAAGGTACAAAGCTTACTTAATTGACAGCACCTCCAGATGCTCCTTTATTCGTTCTCTCTGCCCTTTGAATCATAATTTTTGTCTGACTGGGACAGCAGGACAATAAATGCAATATATTTCTGGAACTTTTGGGGTGGAGCCACTGTGCTCTGGTTTCAGGTGCTAGTGTAATGTAGCAGGCACCCTCACTGTGTTTTGTTTTATTTCTGGGTTTTCTCTACTATTTTAGTCATCTGTCCATTGCTGGAACAGCTTGCCTGAGGCAGATCAGTGTAGAAGAGGAAAGGTGCCCTTTGGTTCAGGTTTCAGAGGTTCCAGTCCGAGGCTGCCTGGCTCCATGTTTCTGTCGTGAGGTGCAGCAGAGCTGGTCATCTGTGGGCCGCAGGGAGGCAGAGGAGGGTGTGGGCTTAGCAACGAGTGCGCTCCTGTAAGACAGAATGCGGCTGGAGGAGGTGAGGCCCCGGCGGATGTGCATAGCCCTGTGGGTCCCTTCATCTCTGCACGCCCCACCCTTGGACAAGGCATGACGCAGCAGGTGCTACCGGGCCCGTGTCCCACCCTATGCTCACTTCCAGCCTGTTTCTGGGCGCACAGGTGGCACGAGGAACCTGGGGTGCAGGCAGGACAGTCAGATCGGGAAAGAGCACCTCTGGGCTCTCTTCCGCATGGAGCTCTGCCCTGTGTGAGAGGCCTGGGAGAGGGGAAGATCCACCACGGGGGAAGAACACCTGCCCCAAGCTATGAGGTCGGCTGTGCTTTCCCAGCTCTACAGAGGAGGGGATGGACCTAGTGCCCTTCATTGGTAAGTGGTGAAGCTGGGATTCGAACCACTCAAAGAGGAAAGCGGATGGGCAGCCCCTTCTCGTAAACCCTAAAATGTGCTGCCCTGATTTCGGGGGTGGGGAGAGCGCATCCTCCCAGCGGACTCCAGTCCCCTGAGCTGGCTTCTGGACCGGAGGTCACACTGGCTGAGCAGTCCGTGTGCAGGGCTGCGGCACTGCCCAGAGGCACCATTCTGGCAGGGGAGGCTGTGCCCATGACTCCGCAGGCCAGGTTGGAGCCCACCGGGTGAGGTCTGTGCACCTGCCTGGCCTCGTCGTCAGCTCTCCCTTTTCTAGGCCCCTACAGGGTGTGCAGGGGTTGCTTTGTGAGACCCCCAAGGGATGCTGAAGCTGCAGTTTGAGGTGTGTCGACAAAACTAGCATGGATTTCTCTTTCCTTCCTAAATTCATGGATCAAAGATTTGTTCTGACTTTAGAGCCCAGCAATTGTGGCATATACTTTTCTTCTTCCTTATTAAGTAAGGAAATTTCACCTTTTCACTTAAAGGAAGCACTTCATGTCTTCTCTTTGGCATGTCCAGTTGCCACATCGACTCTTGCATTGTTAAGTGAAGCAAGGGCTACTTGAGCATGAGCCCCGGAATACACAAATACTGGCCTGAAACCAAGTGACTAATAGGTGCCTGAGAGGACAGAGCAGGATACCCTGCTTGGTGCCTCGATACTCAGAATTTAAAACTCATAAGCTGTTTTGTTTCTGAAATTTTCAGATATCTTCACCCAAACTGGTACCACCGAATGACCCACGGGAAGGTCTAAATGGCTGTTCCATTAGCCCTGATTAAATGGTGGAAACAGTAGTCCCTGGCGTGGACTTTCCAGTGGGAAACAGGCAGAGACCATCAGCTCCTCAGACAACCTTTTCCTTCCACCAATAAAAGTCTCTGATGGCGCCCTCTGTGTCCCCCCTCCTTAAAGCCAGATGTTTGGCTTGAGTCGTCTCGTGCAGTACTGAGCCCAGAGATCAACCAGAAGTGCCAGCCTTGCAGCTCTGGGTGTGGCTGCGCAGACATCTAGCACATTTGTGTGGACAGCATTGTGCTGGGGGTGGGACAGAGGCAGAAGCACCCAGGGAAGAAGGGGAGGTGACTTGAGAGGCCCAGCCCATGGCCCCATAGGCTTCTGAGCTCTCAGATGTCCCCTGCTCCAACCCTCCTGCCCCATGCCAGGTAGCAAGCAGTCCTGTGGGTGGAGTGGCCAGGGGAGCAGTGGGGAGACCCCAGACCCCCTGGCTAGTGGGCCTCTGTGACCAGAAGAGCTCCCTGCCCTGCAGGAACCTCTGCCCACTCTGCCAGGAAGGCTGCACTGTGCCATCCTCGGGGCCCATCCTGGGTCAGGCCCCTTTTATGTAGAGACACTAGGGAAGCTGGGGCCAAAAGGGACATGATCCCTAGCTTGAAGAATGGAGGTGGCCTGGCAGGGCACAGAGTGCAGAGCCCCTGTGGGCCCATGTTTGAACCCTGCCCTCTACCCACAGTCTGACCCTGGGCACATGGCTCAGCTGTGGTTTAGTCACCTGTGCAATACGGATGCTCCAGCGAGGAGCCCTGCCTGGCGTGGGCCTGGCTTGGGAGGAAGAGCAGTTTGGGGGTCTTGGGCCGTGGTGGTCTGTTTCTGCCCGTGAAGCCTGCATAGTGGTGACTCGTGTCTGGGCTGTGTTTGCACTGCAGCCTGCAGCCTTGAGCGGGCTGGGGCTTCTCTGCTGCCCTCCTGGATGCAGAGCTGGTAAAAATTCATCCCAGGCATCCAGGGGCTGTAGCTTCACCTCCTATTCTTGGTGGAGTCATGGGGCCATGGGTCTAGGGCCATGGCCTGGAGAGCAACTTGGGTCTCAGTCCTGTGTGCGGGCAGACTCAGCCCTCTCTGCAACCTCACCTCTCTTGTGCCGGGTGCGGGTCTAACCTTGCCTCTCCTGCCCTGCAGTACACTCGGCAGCGTCTGATCACATCTCTCCTGCCTTGCATCACACTGGAAACCAGCCTCGTTCCCTCAGGCACCACAGCATACCCAGGGTCTAACTCCATCCTCCGGCCAGACAGCACACGGGATCCAGCCCAGCTGCACATTGTGTCGGCGGGGCTGTGCGGTTATGCAGGCACCATGTGATTGGTCGGACTCAAGAGCCCTCCCCCTTCTGCATCCTTGCCCACCGCTGTGATTGGCTGGATGCCCAGCATCCTTTCCTGGCTGCAGAGAGCTGGGGTGAAGGGTCTGCTGGAAGTGGGTGCTGGAGGGGTCAGATGGGGCAGGATGGGGAATGCATTCTTTGCACAGTTGTGCTGGGACCTGGGGCAAGGCCTTTGCTTGCTCTGCTTCTTGCCTGACCTGAGTGAGAAGGAAAGTTAGGGTCAATGAATTGTGGCTCCTTGAGGATCTGCAGCCCACGCTGATCTGAACACCTTTCCTGAGCGCGCTGAGCACCTGCTGTTAAAGGGCTGTAACCTGGGGACAGATTAAAGGCTGAGTAGGTGTGAGCTCTGCTGCTCCAAGGCATAGTCCTTGGGCAAAGAACTGATGCAGTATTCTTGTTATTTTAATTACAGGGCAAGAGATCGAGCTTTTGAATTTCTCTATGAATGTTCTTTTGCCCTCCACTTTAGCTACGTAGTATCCACCCTTCCCTGAGGAGCCCAAGACACCCATTCCTCCACACTATGGGTGCCTTAAACCTGGGACGGTCCCCAGCCTGATATATACTACATTTTTTTCTTAGACATACTTAAGATGAAGTTCAGTTTACAAATTATACATAGTAGAGAGTCACAATAATAGTACGATTGAACATTTGTGATACTACACCGTGACAAGGCTGCTAGCTTTGCTGCTCTTGTGCGTCGGGGTCATATTACAGATACCAGCTGTCGGTGGGTCTGTGAGGTCCCTGAAGCTGAAATATCCTACACTTTCAAAATGAGTTTGCAGGTTCTCTGACTGTCATTTCAGAAAAAGTTTTCAGAATGCATCAGTAGGAGACATGAGGTTTATTAGAGATATAGGATGCACTCAAGAGCAGAGTGTGAGTGCACAAAGAAATGAGAACACCTTACGAGCTAGGGTAGGGCACATTTTAAAGGGATGTCTTCAACACACATCGCTGGGCCATCCAAATGCCCAGATGCCCTTTGTCCAGATGAGCCCTGGTGTGGATCAATCAGCATGATGTGTCTGGGGTCAGTCAGGTTGAGTTTGCTGTTTGAAGTCCAGAGAAATAACCACCTTGTACACATCAGATCAGCTGAGTCATCAGGCTGGGCCACTATAAAAGGGCAGTGGAGGGTGAGCCATGCCTGTAGCCACTGCCTGTCCCATGAACTCCACACCTGAGCTTCTTGCTGAGGTGATCAAAGGGAAGAAAGCCAGGCTCTCCTGCAGGTTAGGGCAGTAAAGTCATTCTGTCCAGAAAGGGAAAGTGGAGCCGTGATCTGCAGGGGTGTGGACTGCTCAAAACAAGTGCGAAGGGCAGATCGGACTTTCAGGTGGAAGGTTGGTCTCTCCATGCTTCTGTCTACCTAATTAGCATTACGAAAACTGGTCTTACTTGTTTCTAGTGCATATGCAGTTGGCACAGGTATTGAGAGCTGTGCAGGAAGCTGGGTTCTGGGAGCTGGGACAGTGATCAGGTTGGACATATTCCCTGCCTTCCCCACCAAGGTCTGTTATGGTGCCATCAGCATGCCATGTGTGGACTTCAGAGTGCCACCGCCCACAAGGGAGTAGCTGGGACATTCAAGGTGGGGTGGGGTTTTCAGGGAATGGTTTCCAGAAGTAGGCTGTGATGGGTTCTGAGAAGTCTGTGGCTTTGAGAGTGGGCTTTGGGTTGCCTGTCTTGAAAGCTGTCATGGTACTCCAGATGTGGGGTCACGAGGACTCTGGGCAGGGAGCAGCTGGAGAGCGGCTGGGTCTGAGCCCAGGAGGACTTGCTTGGACATCTTTTGAGGGAGAGGAGGTGATGAAGGGCCTCTTCCAGTGCTGTAGGTTGTGCCTAGATGTCTTCCCCCAAAGCCTCATGGCTTTTTCAGGGGTGGCTGGATCTAGAGTGTTTGATTGATTCATGGTACAATGCTAGGATTAAAGGTGCTGGGATTAAGGGTGGGTGATTGCTAAATCAGTCCATTGATTGGCTTGGCAGCACCCTAATGTCAGTAACCTGGATACAATATAAGGGACAGAGAGATGCTTGTCTGGTGCCTTGTTTGCTTTGCTACCTTCTGCCTGCCATGAACTGTTTCTCCTCTGTGATACCTGTCTGCCTTGGAGCCAGCCCACTATGAAATGAAACCTCTACAAACTGTGAGCTAAATAAACCTTTCTCCTTTAACTTTGGGTGCTGGATATTCTGTCTCAGCAAGAAGAACGTAACGAAGACAGCCCGGAACAGTAGTTCTCCAGAATCTCCTGCACTGTACTGAAAGGTCTGTGTGGGTGCTGGTGTCTCCATTACTGGCCCTCTGTGGATCCTCATTGCAGGAACAGCCCCCAGTGCCCAGTTCTTATTTTAAAGGGCAGCTGTGGCAGTGTCAGCCTCAGGGCTCTGCACATCCCAGCAGGATCCTGAGCACTCATCCGGCCCGAATGTGGGCTGACAGTGTTTCTTAGCAGGGACCTCCTCAGGCGTTGGGTACCCACCATGGGCAGGTTGGTGCCGGGCCCTTCTGGTTGACTCTGTGATCTCCCCTCTGTCGAGGTCCTGACTGCTGCCTTGGGGAAGCGCCTCTTCCTCATGCACAGTCTCTGAACTTGTGCATGCTGGGGGGACTTCCCTGGTCAGATGGAAGGGGGGAGCCAAACCAGAAGGCTGGGTGTTGGTCCTCAGAGACCACATTCTTTTCTTCCCTGAGAAAAAAGACACAGAGCCAGAGAAATGGGGATTTAAGCACAGCTGAGTTTCCAGGAAACGCAGCAGGCACTTTGGTTGCAACACAGGCCGATTAGTGGTTGCTTGAGGCCCCGGAGGCACAGGGCAGCAGAGAGAGGCAGCAGCCGGAGAGGGGTTTGTTTTAGAGGTGGTGAACTTGTCCTCCAGTTGGCTGTGGTTGTGTTGCACATAATTGTCCTGTGTAATGGGTGAAGTGTATATGAATTATATTCTTTTTTTCCCATGGCTGGGCATAGAACTCAGGACCTTGTGCTTGCAAGGCAGGCACAGGGCCACTGAGCTAAATCCCCGGCCCCTGAATTATATTTCAGTAAAGCTGTCAAACGTACATGGCTAAGATGTGCAGCCAGAATTAGGCTTTCTAACAGCTGAGTTTAATGTCCCAGCATGTGAGACCCCCCCTTAACCTGTGTGCATGTGCTTTGTTGACCCCTTCCCCACATGATCCCACACGATAGCCTCCTAGCCCGTCCCTCCCCCTTTCCCTTTGGAATAAGCTGATTCTGGTCCACAGTGTGGAGAGGAGCCCCCGGGAGCCTGTGGAGCAGGCCAGCCCATCCCATCCGCACCCCTGCCCAGTGTGGTGCCAGTTTTCATGGCTTACTAGGATCGTGGGTGAGTTTGTTTCTTGTTCTGTTGTGCCAGAGCAAACTCTGGGCATATGAGCAAGGAAGGTTTTTATTTATTTATTTTTTTGCAAGGACGGTTTTTAAAGGCAAAAACAAAGAGGATTGTGTCAGTTATTTTCAAATGGTAACCCTTGCCCAGGGTGATTTATGACCAGACTGGCGCCGTCTGAGATTGAACGGCGTTGCTGAGCAGGAATCCTGCGGATGTGCTTTGTGGAGCTTATCATGGCTCTGCCAGCACTGGTCCTGGCAGTCTTTGTGATAGCTATGAGGTAATCATGTGGAAGAATCTTGCTTCTATAACCTCTCAGTTTTATTTATTTATTTATTTTTTGACACAAGGGACTCCATTTTTATTCTGGCAACTTTCGTATTTCTTTTCTCTCTCTTTTCTTTCTTTCTTTCTTTCTTTCTTTCTCTTTCTTTCCTTCCTTCCTTCCTTCCTTGCTGTGAACTTTCACAGTTTCTTTAGACAAATATGCTGGGTGAGACAGTTGCTGGTAAGGAACCTGTGGGGAGCTGCTGTCCCCACCTGCTGGGGCATCAATTCCTGCCTGGGTCAGCTGTCTTACTGATGGCTTCTCCTTCACCCTACAGGAGTCATGTGGCTGGAAATTCTCCTCGCCTCCGGGCTGGGCTTCCTCATCTACTGGTTTGTGTCCCGGGACAAGGAGGAGACTTTGCCGCTTGAAGATGGTTGGTGGGGCCCAGGGGCAAAGCCCACAGTCAGGGAGGACGAGAGCATCCTGCCTTTCAAGGTGGAGACCTCAGAGGAGGAGATCAGGGTAAGGCAGCTCCCCGCCAAGGGTAGTCAGTGAGACAGCTGGGGGAGCAGCCCTTCTTGGACTTGTCTCTGTCCTTCACCTTTCTGCTCCTCTCCCTCCCGAGCCATGTGCCCAGCTGGCGAGGCTGAGAGGCGCCCAGGTGCAGGCATTGGAGGTCTCAGAGAGCAGTTGTCTGTACTTCTCTGGGCTCCTAAGGTGGTGCCAGGCCATGTGCAGGAGGGAGAGGCAGGGCAGGGCTGCGTGGCACTGTCTGTGTGGGCACACTTCCGTGTGCAGCCCAGGCTGCAGCAATCCTGGCCCCCTCTCTCTCAGCGGTGGAAAGGAAGCTCAGAGGGGAAGCAGTTTGTCCCAGGGATAAAGCTGACACACAGAGGAATTTGAACTCAGGTCTAGCTCCTGGCTGCTGCAGTCAGGAGGGAGCCAGAGGAGTTCTGAGTGCCCGAGATCTTCCCGAAGGGTGAGGCTGGAGCATGGTGGGCCGAACTGGCGCAGCCCTGTGCGTTTCTTATCCTGCACTCCTTGAGCACCTGCTGTGTGCTGGAGGAAGACAGGGACCGCTCCTGCAGTAGCTTGCTGTCCAGTAGGTAAGAGAGGATGGTGAGCGAGTTTGTGTTTAGGAGGAGGTGAGTGGGGAAATGTAAGATGTGCTGGTGAAAGGCCGAGAGAGCTCCGAGGAAGGGATCTAAAAGCAGGAGCTGCGTAAAGCCCAAGCCAAACAAGCCCTGCTCCCTGTTGCTGTGCGTGATGACTGAGCGCTGAGGGTTTCTCCTTTCCTGAGCCTGGACTCTGTGAAGTCTCAGATTCCAGGATGTTTGAGGGTGATGAAGCACTTTGGCCTCATCCCCAGCACCAAAAGGAAAAGAAAAGAAAGACGAAACAGTGGAAAGAGAATGTGAAATGTGCCGTGATATGGCCAGGTGTGTTGGTGCACATCTATGATCCCAAGAACTCAGGAGTTTAAGACAGGAGGGTCACAAGTTCAGGGCAAAGCACGGCTGCCTCGGTGTGCTGGTGATGTGGGAGCTTTGCTTTGCCACTGTCATGGCGTGGCGTTTGCAGTCTTCGCGCTGCCATGGAACCCACTTTCTCCCATGCCATGCCTGGCCTCTCTCCTTGGTCTGGTCCCACTGCAGGACTTACACCAGAGGATTGATAGGTTCCGCCCAACCCCGTCATTGGAGGGCAGCCGATTCCACTATGGCTTCAACTCCAAGTACCTGAAAAAGATCCTGTCCTACTGGCGGAATGAATTTGACTGGAGGAAGCAGGTAGAGATCCTCAACAAGTACCCTCACTTCAAGACAAAGATTGAAGGTGTGTTTTCCGAGCCCAGGCTGGGAGTTCCCTGGGGAGCCTTCTGCATGGGGTGCTGCTGCCGGTCTCTGGGTGCAGCTGGGAGGTTGAACCTTGTCAGAATGCAAAGAAAATGCCCTCAGTCTTTAGAGCTACTGTTGGGCATAAATTTTGTGGTGTCCCAAACAGGACAAAAGAAGCTAGACTTTTGAAAAGTTTCTCGGCAAGGGGAACTTTACTTCTGGAGAAGGATGCATGGCCACGATAAACAAAGCCAGCCAGCACACACACAAGTAGTCTGCTGAGTTTTTATTTCCGGACACACTAGGCCGTGCCCCTTGGTGGGAGCATAGCCTTACAGTCTAACCTGATTGGCGAGTTCTTAAGGTGTAGTAGGTGTTGGGCAGAACAGATCCTATGACTCAGAAATCTCTTTGTTACACACAAAGATTTATGGCAGGTGGACTGGCTTGGGGCCCTTTGTTTTAAATTGTCTAAGAGGGGCGGGGATTTAGCTCAGTGGTGCCACCACCTGCCTCACAAGCAGAAGGACCCGAGTTCGATCCCCGGTGCCAAAAAAAAAAAAAAAAATTAAGTTGTCTAAGGAATGGTGAAACAAGTATGTGTCTCTATTTTACAAAAATAGAGATTTGTCTAAGATGGAGTTATCTTAAATATCCTCTTTGACAGAAAAGACTACCTTTCCCCTGTCAGCTCCTTGATCACGAGGGGAAACAACTGATGCCCTGCACTGGGGTTGCTACCCTTTGAGTTTGGTGGGTGAGATGTATTCAGTGCATTTTATTTTGTTTTGTTTATTTTTGTGGTGCTGGGTATCAAACCCAGGCTTTACCAATGATCCACAACCCCAGCCCCTAAATGCATTTTAGACTTAGGACATTTTCAACTTAAAATGGGTTATCATGTAAGTTGAGGAATACCCCCATGAAAATATGCATGCGTATAACTATGACAAAACTGGATCATACAATGGATCTGACTTGGTAATTTGCTTTTACCATGTGGCCCTAAACTATTTTCTGTGTTAAGTACACATCTACAGTTACCTTATGTTCCAGTATAGTTATTGTCAAAGTATAATCTAAGTGATTAACACTCTATTGCTGGATCTCCAGGCTTCTCTTTCCCCCACCGACTTAAATTACACAGCTTTGCTGGTGGGGGTGGGGAGACCATTCCACATACCATGGGAGTACTCAGGAGACTGAAGCAGGAAGATCCCTGCAAGTCCAAGGCCACATAGTAAGACACTGTCTTCAAAAACAGCAGAGGAGAAAGAAATAAAGTATACAGCTGTACTGTGAGCCAGGGACTATCTGGTCTCGGGAGCCGAGTGGGACCAGCCTGGCTCTCTCCTGGGAGCTGGGCTGGGAGGGTGCCCTGATGTCTGAGGGTGACGGGGCACGGCGGAGTGGTGTGAGCTGAGGCCCCAGGGGCCCAGAGTCCTGTGGCACCCAACCCCTGTGCTCCCAACCTCGCTCTGTCCCCAGGGCTGGACATCCACTTTGTCCATGTGAAGCCCACACAGCTGCCCTCAGGCTGTAGCCCAAAGCCCTTGCTGATGGTGCATGGCTGGCCCGGCTCCTTCTACGAGTTTTATAAGATCATCCCGCTCCTGACGGACCCAAAGAGCCACGGCCTAAGTGATGAACATGTGTTTGAAGTCATCTGCCCCTCCATCCCTGGCTACAGCTTCTCAGAGGCATCCAGCAAGAAAGGTAAGAGGGCGGGCAGAGGCTCAGAACACCCTGTCCTGCCTAGCATGGCCTGGGCTTCCCACCCGGCTCAGGAGGATGAGGCAGGAGGAGTCTGAAGCATTCTTGTGCTAAAGGACTGGGTCACTCGGGATCTATCCCAAGGCCTTTCCAGGCCAGCAAGGGTGCCTGAGCCCAGCAGAGCAGTGCTGTCTGCCCACTGCCTGACCTGAGGCAGGTGCTGGCCTCACCCTGTCCTGCTGGGTGTCTTCTGCCTGCGGGGAGCTGGCCTCACCGCCACTGGAGGCATCGGGTCTGCGGAATTCGTGGGCCACCCCAGGCTGTAGGCCTGACCTCCCTGCGACTCTGTTTTCTTCTTCACAACCAGGCCTGAATTCAGTGGCCACTGCCAGGATCTTTTACAAGCTGATGCTTCGGCTGGGCTTCCAGGAATTCTACATTCAGGGAGGAGACTGGGGGTCCCTGATCTGCACCAACATGGCCCAGCTGGTGCCCAGGTGCGGCCTGTCAGGGATGTATGGCCAAGAGGGTGTGGTGCTGGGCACAGCTTCCTGCACTGCCCCTGCCTGCCAGCAGCTCGCCTGGGCCCTCATTCCAGGGCCCCCGGGCGGGGAGGCCAGGGAGACCATCCCCCCGGGCTCTGGCCTCGCTGTGTCTGACCCCTCCCTTGACGCGAGCCCAGCCTCACTGGAACTGCTCTCTTCCCTCAGCCACGTGAAGGGCCTGCACTTGAACATGGCATTTGTTTTAAGAAGTACTCACACTCTGGCCCCTCTCCTGGGCCGGCGTATCGGGGGGCTTCTTGGCTACACCGAGAGAGATATGGAGCTGCTGTCCCCCTTCAAGGAAAAGGTTTTCTACAGCATCATGAGGGAGAGCGGCTACATGCACATCCAGGCCACCAAGCCAGACACTGTGGGTGAGCATGCAAGGGTGGGGCCTTCGCAGTCTTCAGGGTTCTGCTCCCAGGTGAAAACCTCTGTAAGGGACTCAGGACGTTGCCCTCCATGGCGCTGCCCTAGAGATGTGAGTTTGCACTCGGCCGTCCAGTCCCAGGCTCATCCAGCTGCACAGCTGATGCAGGCTTCACAGTGGCTTTGGTTCCTGCCCCTGGCCCCCTCTCAGCCTGCGTCATGCTGAGTCCAAAAATGGAGGAAAGGAAGAGGCAGGGCCAGAAACCTGGGTCCAGGCAGCTTGTGGAGCTGAGGCAAAGGGAGAGTGTGTCCGGGGACTGGAGGACGTCCCTGCAGCAGTGAGGGCCCAGCAACCACTTCTGCCACCAGGATCCTGGTGAAGCCCGGTTTTTAAAAAAGGTGAAAAACCATGGTTCTCATGCATATACAAAATGAACACATGTCTAAAATCTTATTGAACTCATGAACTCATAAACTAACCAGTGAAATGTTAGAAAACAATGAGTATTCGGAGGCAAGTAAGTAAACAATTTAATTTGCTAGTGGAGGGAGAACCCATCCACACCCACAGAATAATAAACGTCCACTGGATAAAGCTCAGGTGCTCCTCTACAGACGAGAATCATTTGTATCACTCCCAGTGTTACAACTGACAGAGCTGTAAGACAAGGGGAAACGAAGGCCTAGAGGAACATTCGACCCCAAAAGAGCCCACTGGTGCATTGCTGGATCCTACTGGCCGGTTCCTGAAGTTATGCTGCCCACGCTAAAGCCTCTCCCAGGCTTTAGCCATGGCAACCCCATATTCACACACAGAGGCAGCTCGTGAGCACAGTAGCACTTATAAAATAGTTTTTTCTCTAGTTATAAAGTACATGTTCGCTGTAAAAAAAATTTTAAATTCAAAAAGCATAAAGCAGGAGGGAGAAAAAATCACCTGTAAGTTCTCCTTCCTCCCTGAAAAAGCAAAAACCTCACCACCCAAAAAAACAACAAAAAAGACCCTACTTTTTAAAACCAGCAGTGTGGGCTGGGCCGAGTTGTGACTCAGTGGTAAAGCATTTACCTCATATGCATGAGGCCCTGGGTTTAATTCCCACCACTGCTAAACAGACAAAGTAGAAGCCCCTTCCCCATACATTTCTTACTCAGACCTCACAGTCCAGAGCTGTAGATCTTTCGGTCTGAAAGAAGCTGTGCCTGTAGTGTGTGTAAGACATGAGATCTGGGAGGGATTATCCTGGTTCACCTCTGGGGTGCGGAGGCTGAGGGCCGGGGCCCGGGGTATGAGAGCCTCAGAGTTCAGTGGGCCGTGTGCAAGCCTGAGTCTTGCCGGCCCTCGGCCCGCACAGGGTGTGCTCTGAATGACTCTCCTGTGGGACTGGCTGCCTACATCCTGGAGAAGTTTTCCACCTGGACCAATGCAGATTTCCGAGACCTGGAGGACGGAGGCCTGGAGAGGTGAAGGCCCTTGTCCACCCGTTCGTTTTATCCTCTTCTCTGTTGCTTTTGGTGGGGTGGCACCAGTGTCCTGGGCTCTTCTGCAAACCCTGACCCCATGGCTAGCATGGCCTCATGGGTGGGGGGCTGTAGGGGCACTCACAGATCTGGGACCTGCTCCAGCCGCACAGGGGGCGTGATGAGGAATAGGAGTAGTGCAGGGCATCCAGGGGCAGTGCTCCCTGAAGCCTGGGCCTTTCCTCCCAAGACCCTGGGAGCCCAGTGCGTGTTGCGAAGGGCTGATTGGAATGGGCTGCAGGAGGACAAGCAGGCTGTATAGCCTGCTCCTGGAGAGGCTCCTGCAGCATCTGGCTAGCCTAGCTATGGGAGCTCAGCACTTCAGGACTGGGCTGTACAGCACTCTGCCTGGTAAGCCCTGCTCCTGCCTCAGCCTGGCTTCCCACTGTGCTTCCCAGGAAGTTCTCCCTGGACGACCTGCTGACCAACATCATGCTCTACTGGACAACAGGGTCCATCGTCTCCTCCCAGCGCTACTATAAGGAGAACCTGGGCCAGGGCCTAATGACCCAGAAGCATGAGTGGTGAGCCTGGCCCTTGGCATGGGGCAGCTGGGCCTATAAATTGGGTAGGGCTGGGGGATCCAGGGTTTCCCAGGTCCCCAGGGAGACCCTGGGGGAAAGGCAGGCTGCCCAGACTCCTGCCAGGAAAGGGAGGTAGAACTAATGGTGGGTAATGGCCGTGTAGCCCCAGTCTGCCCCTTTCTGTATGACTGCATGTGACCCCCAAACTCCTCCGCGGGCCCCTTGTCCTTCCAGGATGAAGGTCTCTGTGCCCACTGGCTTTGCCGCCTTCCCCTGCGAGTTACTGCACCTCCCTGAGAGGTCGGTGAGAGCCAAGTACCCCAAGCTCCTCTCCTACTCCTACATGGCCCGTGGGGGCCACTTCGCTGCCCTGGAGGAGCCCGACCTGCTGGCCCAGGACATCCGCAAGTTTGTGACACTGGTGGAGCAGCAGTGACATGCTGGATGGAGCGTGGCCTCCCTAGCCGACAGCCCCTCCTGCTTGCTCTTGAGGCTGCTGTCCCGAACCCCAGCCTTGAACCCAACCCTAAACCATGAAGGCCCAGTCCCGACCCACCCTCAGCCCATTCCCCTGTGAAGCCACACACTCGGATGATAAATGATGTCACTTCTCAGAACCGCTGGTGACCAATGACATGCGGCGCTCCAAGCCACCCAGCAGAGCTCCCCTTCCTGGGAACGGCTGTCCTGAGAACAGGGTTCTGACCTCCCTGAGGAGACAAGTGGCCTCCATTGCATGCCTAGGAGCAGCAGGGCCCAGAATGACAGGAGAGACCTAAGGCCAGACATACACAGTACAGGCCACAGGGCCGTGGGATGTGGCCTGAAAAGGACATGGAGTCCGGGTGGCCTCTGGGGCCTCATGATGCCCCTGGCCCCTTCCCACCGCACACCAGCCTAAGGCTCACCCCCTCCTCCAGCTTGGCCGGGAGATAGACGAAGCAGAGGTTGTGCCGGTCCACCATGTGCTTGAGCAGGATGTAGATGAGGCCTGCGAAGGTGGGGCCCGAGTGGGTGGCTGCCGGCTGAGGCACCAGGGCGCCTTCCCTGGGAGGGTGTGGCTCGGCTGTGTGGAGCCAAGGTGCAGGGCTGAGCAAAGTCTGAGGCTGCAACGGGCCAAGGCACGTCCTAGCTGCAGGCTTGTTCCCGCGCCCTCCTCACCTGCTTCCTCCCTTCTCTCTGCCCCTGAGGGAATGGGAGCCCCTGTGATGCCTGGTGAGGCCTGAGCAGCGGCAAGACAGTGCTGGCGTGGGGTCCAAGCTCCCAGGCTGGGGCTGCTGGAGCGCAGCGGAACAGGGCATGCGGGGCACGTGTGAAGCACTCAGGTTGATCCCCAGCACACACACCAAGCCCAGGGGCACGGTGACAGGGTCAGGACGAAGAGAAGGCCACACGGAAGCACCAAGGAAGGTCGCCCTGGGAGCCCAGGCAGGGGAATTCGTTCAGACGTGAGTGTGGTTGGTGCCATGTGCTTCCCCGGCAGCAGTGGCTCCAGTGGCTCCAGTGGCCAGTGTCAGGGGCTCTGAGACTCGAAGGACTCCAAGGAAGGCTGGGAATGGGGAGCCCAGGCTGGGGGTGTCCAGCGGGCAGATTCTCAGGAGGCTCACGGATGGCAGAAGACAAGGAAGAGGGCTGGCCACCAAGTCTGTGGACCTGGATGTCACCGTCACCCTGGCCCAGAGCTGTGGGCACGTGTGAATCGGCGGTGACTGCCAGCTCCTCAGCGCTCAGCCACCTGGCCCCGGCCGGCGGCGAGAACTCATCTGAAATAATCCACAGGCCCTCACAGGAAGCGAGCCGGCCTGCCCTGGAACCACGCCCTCGGAAAGTCAGCCCCACCTCCCGCTCTGTGAAGGCTGGCTTGGATCCCCGCTCTGCCCCTTCACCATCCTAGCTCCTCGGTTCGGTTCACAGACTAAGTCTTTCGACCATTTTGGTCGTAAACCAAATAGGGCAAGAACCCACTCAGATTCAGTGCTTAGGCTCAATGTTGACCTCACGGGAAGTTTGATTCAGTTCTCATACAATTCGGTTTGGGACTAGAAACGTGGAAAGAATTAAGTTTGTGAGCTGGGTAACCCTTGATGGGTCCCTCATCATCTCGGAGCCTCAGGCTCCTCATGGGTCAATGGAGATGCTGTCAGTAGCTACCTGGCAGCCTCCTACAGTGGCTAAAAGAGAAAAAACCTGTACGGACCACTTAGCGTGGTGCCTTCTTAAACCACTGCTAGTGCTAGGGCACGGGCATAGAATCACCTTACAACCCTAACAAGGACACACAGAGGCCAGGTGTTGACCTCCATTCTCCTGACACAAATAATCCCCAGGTCAGACAGCCGCCCTGCTGCTGTGTTGAATGACTCTTCTCTGTCTCGGCTACCTGGCACCCCGAGCCCTGTCGGTTCTTGCCTCTGTGGCCGTGCCTGGTAAGGTTCAAAGGATGACAGTGCCAGTACTGGAGCTTGGGCCTAAAAATAGCCCATGTGCATCCCCGGCACCCGCAGTGGGGCAGCCCTGGTCCCTGCTGTCTGGGGAGGGAGTCTGGTCGGAAGCACAGGCCACCACCCATGGAGCGTGCCCCGGGCTGGGGCTCCAGGACCCGACATGGCTGATACTTACTCCAACCTTATCGAGCCCTCCGAGGAAGTGTTGTCAAAGAGCCACCGGAAGAAAAAATCCAGGCTGAAAAGCAAGTGAATCCTTTAAGAGTTTATTTCTTCCTCTTCTTCCTTCCTGGACCTTCCCTCCACCTCTCTTCCTTCCTTCTATGGTGCTGGGGACGGGACCTAGCACCTTGTGCATGCTGGACAAGTTCTCTGTCACTGGGGTGGGACCCCAGCCTCAAAGACTTTATTTCCAATACTCCATGTGGTCACAAGCAATTCCCATTCTGTGTCACTATGAAAAGAGGCTGAATATCAAAATGCGTCACTGTTTTCTCTGATGCCACTTACACAGTGTGACGCACCAGGCAGCCTTCAGTGAAACACCCTTCTTGGAGATAAGCCCAGCCAGAATTAGACCTTACCAACATATGTGTGTGTGTTCGTGTGTGGCGGTACTCTATAAGTTTGTTTGTAAGCTCCCCCTACCCTCCCAGAAAGATCGTCTTTCCGGGAGAATCAGTGGACCAGCATAACTGCACTCCAACAGGCTACTGCCGCCTCCAAAGTGGTTTGGGCTTTCCATCCGGTCCAGACCGTTTCCGTCCCCAAGGCGGCAGTGCTCTACAGCTGTGGGCCTGATTCTGAACTCAGGGCAGGAGACGCTGGGTATACCTGGTAAGGCCAAGGGAGGGCAGGATCAGCACCATGAAGATCAAGAATATGTAGACCTTGGTCATCGTGTTCCAGTTTTCCCCCGACCTGCAGGAAGCCAGAGGGGAGCACTCGTTCACGGTCCCCAATGCTCCGGGTGCTGCAGCGAGGCCTGCCTTGCACCCCGTGCCCCAGCTAGAGTCCAGGGTCCTTCCCAGGGAGACCTCAAGGCTCAGCACTCACTTGGTCCAGTGCGACTCCAGCAGCGTCGAGTAGTAGACTATGGTGGGGAGCAGGGCCGAGAAGGACCAGAGGAGGAGGGTTGGGAAGAACTGGCTGATGACTGGGTTCTGGAAGGCAAGGCCCGGCGGAGAGAGTGGGAGGGTCTGTGGAGCGCAGGGCTGAGGCCATGGCCTGTTGGCCCAGGGCTCCAGGGGTAGGTTCTGCTCTTCCTCCAGACCAGGGCTGTGCGTGCCCAGGCCCCAAATCTTGACTGAATAAACAACAGCTCCTCAGAGCAGTATAGCTCTTTATACCAAAGGAAGCACTTTCACGCACAATGCACCTCTACTTATCTGAACACCAGATTAGGCAAAGCATCTTCCTTTCCTGCAGGAAACCAATGGCTAATACCCAGGGTCAACAGAGCCCTTCGCCAGGCTCCTCTCCAGGCCGCTGGCCAGCTGTAGCTCACCAGGACTCTGGGGTGATTTATCCCAATCCTGTTTATGCTGGCTCTAGTTGATACTGTCATTTTGTGATTTGATTAACTTATTTTCACTGATTAAATGAACGCAGCAACATGTTCTCTTTGGAAACTAAACTGGGGCTAGGGAGTAGCTCTGTGGCAGACAACTCGCCTCGCGTGCATATGGCCCTAGGTTTGATCTCCAGCACTGCAAAACAAAACCCAAAAAGCACGCACTCTACCAGGAGCTCCAACCCCAGTCTAAATTCCTGCTTTGCTTTACAGAAAGCCAAACCGGAATCGCAAATGTAAAATAGGAATGTAGTTCATGTAAAACAGACAGAGGGGAACTCTAAGCAGCAGGCCTCATCCTACATCAAAAGACTGGGAGCGAGTCACGGTGGAGCAAGTCTGTAATCCCAGTGCTGTGTGTGGCTGAGGTAGGAGAACTGCAGTGTGAGTCCAGCCTGGGGTATTTAGTGCCTCAGGGAGACCCCATCTCAAGATGAAAAATCAAAAGTGCTGGACATGTCACTCAGTGCAAAGGCTCCTGATTCAAACCCTAATGCTGGAAAAACAAAAAGAAGAAGGAAGGAAGGAAGGAAGGAAGGAAGGAAGGAAGGAAGGGGCGGCAGAAGAAAGACGGCCTTCTTGCTGTAAATGGAAGCCTCACTGCTAATGCATACTTTAGAAGTTTTTACTATACACTGAGTCAGATCAGAGCATCAACCATACCCGAGCTCCTGTGCCATCCTAACGACCTGAGGGATATCACATGGCAGGTATTCGAGCTCCAGTTCTGGGTTGGACTCTGAGGCTCAGAATTCATCAGCCAGGACCTGGGTCCTTGGCCCTCCACCTGGGGTGCCCTGCTGGAGGATCACTAACAAAGGAACAGAATCAGGGAAGTGTTTCAACACGCTCACTAAGAGAAGCCAATGTCTCTCCCTATAGATGCTCATTTAAAGTGGTTTAGCTGTTATCTCCTCGACTCATCTGAGCGTGTTTTGTTTTGTTTCTGAGATGGATTCTTGCTATTTTGTGTGGAAGTCCTAGGCTCAAGTGATCCTCCTACCTCAGCCTCCCAAGTAGCTGGGATTACAAGGGCACGCCACCACACCCAGCCTCTAAGGTGCTTTGAACAGCATTCTATATTTATGGACAATGAATGAGTTCCTAACAAGATGGTCAGAAGCTGAAATGCAAAAGAAATAAATGATTCATGCCACCCCAATCATGAAAGACCTTTTCATTCTTTCCCGTCCCTTCTCCCTAGTGTCTAGCATACAGGCGTCATTGGCGTGTCACCAGACATACAATTGGACGGTTTTATATCCTGATGTTGTAAGCCCCTCACGTCTGCCACAGTGTATGCAATGCTTGGTAGACGCTTAACATTCGATCACATTAAAATACCTCATTCATCTCAAATGACTCCTCCTGTTTAGTTAGGTCCCATGAAACCAGAACATATATACTGCATTACTCTCAGGCATGGTAAAACATGGCCATGGCTTCTGGCTTCCAAGTGCAGACTTGAGCTGGGTGCCTGGGCTTTCTGGTTCAGAGCCCTATAGCCCTTGGCCCTGGTTCCTCCCCAGTCACCATGCCCTCTTCCTGCCAGCATCACTCACGTTCAGCGCGTGGATGGGCTTGGTGACATTGAACTTGT